AATTACTCTTTTTAGAAGAAAGAGAAAAATTATTTCGAACAGATGTTACTTTAATTGAATTGGATGGTTCATCGACAAGTATTACAACTACTCAATCATCATCTATTATTACAATTCCTCCATCATCATCATTTAGTACAAGTACTTCTGAATCATCATCGTTTAATACAAATACTTCTCAATCATTCACCGCCACAGCGACAAATTCTCTAATATCAATCTTTACTAGTGAATCATCAACGGATTGCTTATCAAAATCGCCTACGAATAGTTTTACACCTGACCGATGTAATACTGATACAAATATTCATCAGCTTTTTACAGATCAATATAATATTCCTTCATTACCAAATAATTTAATCAAAGATATTGAAGATGGAGATATGATTAAATTTGGTCCGTATTTCTCGAATCGACAAATTCTTATTGATGCTGTTTCTTACAATCTCATCAACAATTACAAACTTTTGTAAGTAGTAGTTTAAAGCAAACAGTTTAAGTGCATGATAAAGATAAAACAAAAAACTGCTTCCAGCAACATTTATTCAGAAAAATTAAAACTTTCTTTTTTATTCTCATATCTCAACTACATATACGAGTCATCTTTAAAGATTAAATATAAAAATAATACGTGCATATATATATATATGAGTGTAAGAATATAAACCAAAAATGTACTCAAACATATGATCGATCATATGCTTAAGTACATTCTTTGTTCTTACTCTTACAGATATATATATATATATATGTACATATTGTTTTTTTTTAATTCTGAAGATGACTCGTATATGTAATAGAAATTCTTACAATTTTGTCTTATATCTCATTGAGCTGATTGTAAAAGTAAAGATTTTATGTATTGATAATATACTCTATAAGCAATTTAAAAAACACTTTTCTTAATTGTGTTAAAATCATAAAAAATGAATTGTTCAAAATAGTTAAATTGAATATTACACTAAGATTATCCGACAAGTTCTACCACGAATTATTAGCACTTATTTTAATCTTCAGTATAAAAAGCAATGTGAAACGAAGCATTCTTGATTTTAGCAAAAGCTTCTAAAACAACTACAGATTTTCAAACGAGCTTTTGCTTACTTTTTTTTGATTTAGTTATCCATCACCAAAACAATTCGATCAAATCGGTAGTGCCATTGTTAAATTTTTGAGATTACCTTTGAC